GAGCACAGACGGGTTCCCACATACTCAGTACTCTGCAATGAGCTGCATCAAATATGTTTTTGTTGGATTTATCATCAGTCAACCAGGCATTTCCACTCATTCTCTAACAGTAACCTTATCTGTCTCTTTCCTCCTCCTCAAATAGTTTTCTAACATCAAACCTTACTGGCAAGGTTTTAATAGTACCATCTCCATGGGCTGATACAGATACTAAACAAGACAGCGATGGAAACAGATCCCTGGGGAAACTGACAATAGAAACAGTCTTGATCACAGCTATCTCCCAAGTAACTACTACTTTTTATTATCTGTCATTAGAGGTTTTTAATCCCTCTAATGTGTGTTGTGCTTGAGATAAGTATTACTTTTCTTAAAAATTGGTCACTTGGAGAAATTCAATTGGTTGAGCAATGTTTCTATCAGTACTGCTTTGTACAATCTTGTCAAAATAGACAGGACAGCATTTGTCTGCAAAGATGTATATTACAAAGTTATGCTAAATAGATACCAACATGTTTTTTCAGATTCTAAAAGGCTTCTCTGAAATGTTCCAAATTTATTTTTATCTTGGATCAACATACAGATAGATAGTTCTCAGCTCTTTGGGTCATCCCTTTCAGTTTTTTTCAATAGTGAATTTTGGTGGGCAGTGTTCCACCCTTCTGCAGCTCCCCTAGCTTACAAGAACTGGCTAAAAATTAGTATTCATGAATAATGGAGCTCCTTGCTCTGGCTGTTATTATTGGACATACCTTATCTAGATCTGCTGTTTTTTAAATATTAGTGAGTAGTGTCTCATCCTTCTCTGTTATTAATTATGTAGAAAACCAGATGACGTAAAAACACCCCTCTTCAATTCTAAACACAATCAGTCGGGGGTTGGTTTTGCCCTGTTTGATTTTTTGTTTTGCTGTTGTTTGTGGGGTTTCCCCCAAAAATACACAACTACCTCCTGATTTTATACTGTACCCACACATAGACCTTTTATCTTTGCATGTAAAAAACCTGATGGGTTCTCTAAACTTAGGTCACCGGTATCTCCACGACTAGCACATTTCATTTCTCACCTGCTTCTTGGCTTAAGTTTGCACCTATATTCACTGCTATTTACTTCCTCCTCCTTGCCTGAAGTGCAGAATAGCTTTGAGTTTTATTACCGCAGTCTCAGCAACTGTGGAATCATGCCTTCTTGGCCATTAGTATGATGCTGCTGAATACTTTATGGCTTCCATTAATACTTACCTTTTAAAGGTACCTTCCTGGGCAGTTATCCTGCCAATTGTTTAAACTCCAAGAAACAGACTATTCTAAAGCTCCTTACAGTGCTGCCTGATGCCATATTCTGTTTGCACAAAGCAAATACAGACAAATAACAATCACTGGTACCTAGGCAACGGTGGGATTTCAGGTCAGCTATTAACTCTTCTTTATCTGCAAGAACAAGGTCAACTACTGATTTATTCCACAGTGGGTGCAGAACTGTATGCATTAAAAAACTACCAACTCCTTCTAGAAGCTTTCTGGAAGCCTTTTCATTGGCCTCATGAAATGTAAAGTAAATATTACCCGTTTTAAGCAGACCATATGATTTGCCTCCCTGTAAGATGCATATATATATAAGGAAATGTTTGGCCTATTACTGAGGATATCTCAAGGACCTGTTAGAAGCACATTATGGCTGAAAGATGGTTGGAACCCAAATACTTTGAATTTGTTAAGAAAACCTTACATTTGCAGCTCTGCCAAACGATGCAGGTTTAGAAAGCGTTACGTAATATGTATTTAATCACACTTGGAACAACATGTCTCAAGTCCACCTCTACTCAAGTCTGGACAAAAGCATTAGATATTTTCTGTGCCCCAGGACTGGGCTGACCTCTCGCATGCTGTTCCATCCTTGAGGGGACTTCTTTACTCCCTCCCTACCATCACATTTATTTCTTCCTCCACGGCTTTACTGTCTACCCAATTTCTCTCTTTGTACAGTAGCTTGGGAAAATCACTTCAGGCAAGGATTTTGAGTCTCTCAGATATGACGTTGAGGAGATGTGACCTGACACACAGAAGGGAGAGGGAGAAGATGGGGGTTACAGGCTAGTCACAGCTGAAGACTCAGACAACCGTGAGTCCCTTTTAAGAGTAAGGGTAGGTTTCAGTGAGTCACCCAAAGGAAAGCATCCTGATCCTGAAAAAGAAATAGGAACAAGCAGGATTTAGAGAGCATGCTCTCCTGCTCAAGGCTATGAGCATGCTGAGAGAAGCAGCACTGAAAGAAAAAAGAAGATGTGCAAGAATCATTCATTATTTCCTTGGTAAAGTAGCAAAGTCCTCTATTACAGAAAAATGGCACATGGGGTGTTATGTGTCCCAGGAAATGAACACTCTGCTGGCCGACATAACTCTCAGCAACCACAGGGCCAGGTGAGCTACCAAAAGGCTTTACAAAGAACATATAATTTACCCAGTTAAAATCACATCAATGTGCTGGAACTTGAGATCATGTTTAGAGAAAAAATAAACACTAGAGGAACACCAGAAACCAATTCATATAGCATTATTCCCCATTCCTCCTATGCACAAAAAGGGCACCATGCAGGCCCAAAAAAGGAAAAGAAATCTTAAAGCAAGTAGTTAGGGTGCATTTTCTTAGTCACTTCTTAGGACAGCAGTTCATTTAAACTGCCTGGGTGTCCCAATCTGCAAAGCACAGGCAAAAGCCACCAGGACAGGGATGTCTTTGTCATTTCCATCTCATCCATGTGTCCTGCACCAGGAGCACATGGCAGAAAAGCATCAAGGTGAGCAAGTGTGAAAAGGGCTAGCTGCCAATAAAGCACCAGTCCCAGGAGAAGGGACAGCAATGGGGAACACTTCATGTAAGCGATGCAGCTCCCAGGAGAGGGGAGCAGCCGTAGCACAGAGCAGGACATGATAAATACAGATTGCAGCAGGTGGTCCAAGAACTGGCTGTGATTTCAGCAACCATTTGTCCAAACCGGACGGAACTGCCTACTGTGCAGCCCTGCAACAGCAAAAAGCAGGCTAGAAAAACCACAAAGTAGAGCAGAAGATTCAGCAATCACAGATTGCCAGGAGATGAGTTTAATTCTGAAAACATTCCCACAGGCATCAAGGGTATACCAATAATCTAAGGAATGAACAACATGGAAGCAAACCCAGGCCTCTTGCAACAGAATCACAGATCCATGGTTTTGGCTGGGGATTGACTCCAGAGGTCATTTGGTGCATCCCCTGTTCACAGCAGGTATAATGAGATTTTTTTGGCTGGGTTGTGTCCAGTCAAGTCAGATACCTTCAAGGATGAAGGTTCCACAATATGTTCCACTATTTCAGCATCCTCACAAAAAACTTAACATTTTCCTGGTATCTAATTGATAAATCAAAGGCAGAGAGGCCCTGGAAAGAGACCTAGACAAATTAGAGGGCTGGGCAATCACCAACCATATGAAATTTAACAAGGACAAGTGCCAGATTCTGCACCTGGGATGGGGCAACCTTGGATGTACTGACAGATTGGAGAATGAAATGCTGGAGAACAGTGCTGCAGAAAGGGACCGAGGAGCCTGGTTGACAGAAAATTGAGTATGTAGAAAGGCATGAAATTCACTCTTGTTGAGTACATTAACATTTCCCTCAGCCCATTTCTTCAGCCTGGCCAGGTCCCTCTGAATAGCAGCCTTACCCTTCTGCATTTTGACCACTGTTTTGTTCCTTTTGTACTGTCCAAGCTACAGACAGATAAGCCAAATTCTTCTCTCATTTACAGCATTGAAGTCCATGAATTAGACACATTTACAATACTGCAACACTACTCTGCATGCAAGTGTGCGCCTTTGTGCATGCATACACACCCACACAGATGGCTCAGGAGATGCAATAACTGAAACAGAAATACTGCAGAATTTGGAGGAGCAGCTGCTATAAGTGAGGACCAAGGTATATACTCCAAGCCTAAGATGACAAGAGCTTTGGGCTTTCCTGACTTTGATTCTTTGGACTGCACCTTAAAAAGGCAGCAGCTGTTAACTTCATAGATAATAATAAATATTTCTGAGTACTTCAAAACATGTCATCAACCAAGGATCATATTATAATTATATCAACAAGTCAAATATTCCTGATGATGATATGACATATAGATAACTTCACCTGAAGGTTAGGTCATGAGACATCTAGCTCGTTTATCCATGTTCACATGAAATGAATCACCACATGTACTCACATAAACAATTCTTCCTCAAAGAGCTTATAAATCAAGAATCATGAATAGCATCCAAGGATTAGGGAAGAAAAACTATGTGGTCAAAAGAAATGGAAGGTATATCATACACAATATAAAATACCATCGGACTTGCACTGGCTTTTCCACATGCAATCGCTGCTTGGCAAATTGTTTGCAGCCAGATTTCATCACAGAAATAGATCACGTGGAAAGAAATACTTGAACATGTTTCTAATACAACTGAAAAATAGTGCTTTGCAAGTTAGGGTTTAATCCTGGCCTTTACTCAGAAATAAGGTGAGGTTTCATTTTGTTTTGGTTTTTTTTTCTTTGTTTTTTTCCCAAACCAATTGTTAGATTACACTGCTCAGAGAAGTTGTGGGTTGCCCCAAGCAGTGATGTATGCCCCACCCCTGGAGGTGCTCATAGCCAGGCTGGATTGAGCTCTAAGCACACCTAGTGAAAGATGTACCAGTCCATGTCAGGGGTGGTTGAACTGGATGATCTTTAAGGTCCCTTCCAACCCAAACCGTTTTATGATTCTATGAACATCTCAATAGCAAGAACACTGTTATAGTTCTCGTGTATTCACCAGCTAAGTTAAACACTACCAATTGTCCTAATCCTGCAAATATATTACAGTGTGCTGACTAAACTGAGGAGGAAGGGCTTTTCATTCACACAAATACACAGCACCAGGTGTCCCACCTGTGGAGAAGGAGAATTTGCCATGCCTGAAGAGGCGTTCACAACTTACCCCAAACATCTGCCGAAGGTCAGGATCTCGAAAGCGAAAGGGAATGTTAGACACATGAAGTCGTTTTGGAGTGGATTTGCTCTCAGTATTCTCACTGCTCTGTGTCTGTGATTGCTGTCCATCTGTCTGTGCCCCTCCTTCTGTCTGCTGAAATCAGAAAAGACAAAAGTGTGCACATGAGCAGAAATCACACAATTTCCTTTCACGTGTCTTGTCTGCCCCATCTTAGATATTAGCACTGCACTTGCAATGGAGCTATCTAGCACCTGATAATTATTTTGATAAACCCAGTAGCACTTAACAATCGATCTGTTGTTCTTCCCCTCCCTTTCCATGAGTAAACACTAATGAGATCTCAGCCTCCCTCCCCTCCTATCACCTTCCAGCTTAGTAGATTTGTCTGTGGTTTTCTTAAATTGCTTCTCTCTTTTAGCCCATTCTTCCTCACTTCTGCTGCCGCCATATGAAAGCTCTAATGAAGAGACGGATCTTTCATATCCTGGAGCTGGGAGGTAGCACTGCCACTCTAATCTCATGTGGCAGGATGTTCATGCAATCATCAAAATCCCACAGCTGAAGTGGCAGCTCTTCACCGGGCCAATACCAGAAGTGCATCCCGAGGCAAAATGGCATCTGCTCTGTCAAGCTCCCTTCAGAGAAACATTACCCTAAAAGAAGATCTATAATTAAATGGTAAAATCCATATAGGAGCAGCTTACGGATGTCTCTGATTAACTTTTCGCATACATTTAAGTGAGCCCAGGAACAGGAAACAGTCATCACCAGTGCAAGATTTATAAAAACTCCAAGTGCTGCTTTTTGCTACTAATTCCAGAGCTAAGAAAGGTGATTTGTTCCACTCTTCTCAAGTGCTGACTGGCATGGCCAAGAGAGGTCAAGGGGTACAGCAGGGCTATTTCTTCACAGAAAAAGTACAAGAAGCAGGCAGAGGAATAAGGGAGATCTGTGTGCCAGATGAGAGTCCTAATGCCTGCACAGATTACTGGCAGGAGAAAAGTAGGGAACAGGACCTCAGCCGCTTGTGTGAGCTTAGAGTGAAAAGCGCTAAAATTTGAGCACAGCCCCAAATATAAAGGCAAGGCCCCTTTGCAAAATGGCTTGATGAGAAAATAGCATTTTTCACACTTTAGTCAGAAAGATGACCTCAAAACCTCAGAGCCACAGAACAAAGCAAACTACAATTTAGTTGGTTTTATTGCTCTTGTCCCTTTCCAACTGCATTCACTGACAGGCCAAGGTATTCAAAGAGCACTCACCCACTCACTCTGTCTCCTGCTGCTTGCCTCTGACTCCTAGGAGTTAAGCTTTGACTACCTGTGTGATGCACTTTTAAGTGTCATTTCAACTCTTTAGACGCCAACCTGACTTCCCCCTTAACCTATCAAGTAAAAAGAAGTCCTACAATAAGGCAAGGACTGTAATTGCTAAGAGTCAGTCTTTTTAAGGCACTTTCAAGAAAACATGTGGGCCTTAAAGACATAAGGGGTGAGGTTTTTGCTGGTTTGGGTCCTTTTTTTCCTCCTGTTTTACATTTGCAATTTGTGTACCAAAGATGAAAGAAATCTGAGGGGAGTTGCCCACACCAATTCCCCAACCACTGACTGGACTTGCCAGGTTGCTCTGCACATCATTCAGTATACAACACTTCACCAAACATTTGGAAACATCTCTTCACAGACAAACTTAATTGGCAAAACTAAGAAAGTATCTTCTGCCCAGAAATACCACTTAAAATATGACCTTGAACTCGCAGATTGATTACAAAGCAAGTGTATCTACGAAGACAAGAGCAAGCAAACAGTAAGCACTGGGGTCTTGCCAGTCTGAGCAGAGCAGTGGCAGCTTTCCATTTCATTTCAGTAGAGCTGTGCATACAGCACAAAACATGTTTGATCTGGTTAACATAAATTATCTATGATAGGAAGAATGACAATACTGCCCTGACAAGTATGTCTACTTCCCATAGCTGTGCAAATCTCAGGAGAAGCCTTGAAGAAGGAAGCATTTTTGTTTGTCTAAGACTCATTCACCCCCAAACATCAAATTTTTGAACAAAACTTCAGAAACTTCCTTTTGATCTTATCCAAAAGCCATCCCCCACATGTTCAACCTCTTCTCCTTCCCTCACCTCTATGACAAAAAGGCTCTCCAAACTCATAGAGTCACCCTAGGGGAGGAATCAATGCAGCTGGCTTGCAGTTAAATCACACCACGCTACTTAGTGGTTTTATTTTTATGCCTCCATCAGAGTCCTCTGCTCCTCAGGGCAAATCTGTCCAAGACAGAAAAAACACAGGAGTAGCTTATCTACCACCACTGCATACAACACCTGCAAGTGAGTACTCCAAAGTAACTCCCAAAAATCACCAATACTCCTGCTAAAAGGGACAGCAACGCTAAAACAGAGGTTGTGCAGAACTGGATCTGCTGCTTCCACAGGGGAGGAAGCCATAGCGCTGTTTGCACTCCTCTCCCATGCATTTGCTCCCAGGCAGAGGGCAGAACTCCTTTCTTACCAAGGGTGCAATGTATCATGTACAGTGGCCTGCTCAACAGCACTCACAGCTGTTCCTGCATATGGCAGAGAGCTGCTGCCACACAGAAGTCATTCTGCAGCACGTGAGACGTGTACAGTGAGACAAATGCTTCAAAGAGAAGAAATGACAGAAGGAAAAAGGGATCTTGGTCCACTCTTACTTTTCTAACTGCACTGAGAGACTCCAAATGCTTTTCATGCTTTCATATAGCCTAATTTTTCAGTAGTAGTATAAAATTAAATATCATCTTCTCTATGCTGTAGCTCCCTCATCTCTATCATCCATGGCCCTAGGTACGATCTGAACTTTCCACCACTGTAACATTAGCTCAGTACATTTGTCCACTGCCACACATTCAGCTACAACATAAATGAAAAAACCAGTCTCTTCAGATATTTTTTTTTCCTTTTACAGTTATTCCTTGGCTTAGTTCATTAGGAAGGAGATGAAAGGAAGGGCCTGGAGCCTGTTCTCAGGCACCACACAATAGAGCCTGGCAGCTGTGCTACCCTGACCAAACCAGATGATGAAAGCCCTCATTTCACCAAATGCTCACTCCCCACCTTGACTCCTTCCCCACAAGGTATTCAAGCTCCTTCTGGCTTTGCGTCAGCACTTCCCGGTGAAGAAAGAGAGCTCTCCCTTCTGCAGAGAGTCAGCTCAGAAGGGCACTAATATACATTCCCTAGGTCCCAAAGCCTCTCATCAGGCTATAAAGATATGCTGCAGCAAAGGTCTCACACTTAGGACCAGTACTGGATTCACCGCACCTCCTCAGCACAGCCTGTGTAACATGCACTGATGCAGGTGATAATGCCATTCATGCCTGCACAGGAACACTTTGAGCACTGCTCAAGGTCACCGAGAAGCACATCAGAGCTTGGGACAGCAAAGCATGTGCTTCACTTTCAACTCCTTGCTGCCTGTGCCCCCAGGTCAGCTCCTCCCTTACGCCTGCCAGCAGCAAGGAAACGCTAAGCAAGAAAAGGCAGCTGCAAAGAGAAGCACGGATTATATTGGTGCATATACACATGCAAAAGGGGAGGAGGACACCTGGAAACACAAGAGTGTTCCAAAAGGTTTGAGGGCAGCTCTACAACCACCTTCCCACCACTCAACTGGTCTCCTCTATCCTAATGCAGGTGATGAACAACTAATTGCTGAGGATTTCCCCTCAGCAGCAGGGAGGCAGGGGCTCCAGCACCACTTGAGCTCCGAGCAGATCTCCATCTGAATGGCTAGACAGAGGGATGCCTCCCCAGCGAGGCAGACAAGCACTGGTGCAACACACCAACACAGAGATTATTAATACCCAGCACATTCTGTTTCCATCTCCCACTTGCTTCTAGAACTGGAACCGCTTCAGATCCAAGTTCCAGACAAACAAAAAACAACCCCCCATTCTCTCACCCAGGAAGCAGGCGGTCCAAAATGTTGTGAATCATACTGAGGAGGTTAAGAGCCATAAATCATTGCAAAGAAAATATTTACAAAATACAAACTGTAACTAATAACTATATTTAAAAGGGGATTTGGGTGGCTTACAAAATCTAGGAGACAGACTGTGCTCACTCCACCGCTCCTCAATCAGTCTTGGATCCAAAAAAAGCCAAAACTAAACACCCAACCTTGTTTGGATCAAGAGCTTGAAGAACTGTGGAGACAAGGACCAAAAGCTACAACTGTGAGAAGGCAATCTTCCCACAATGAAGCAGAGCATGTGGAACAGATAATGAGGAAAAATATGAGCAGAACAGATAATGTGGAAAAATCTCTACAACTTCTAGTGAAGAACCTGTGTCAAAACAAGCAGTCACCCACCAATGAACAGATACCCACTGAGGAGATTTCATGGAAAAACAAGTGAAGAATTAGGCCTCAGACACAAAATCCATCTCCTTCCCCACCACACTCTGCTAAAGTAGGTTTGAGGTCCCACACATCCAATAGCAAACGCCATGGGAACTTCAGTTGCTTAAACACTTGTTCAGCAGACAGAAGACCATAAGGCTAATTATCACTTTTCAACAGCAGTAAATATTATTTTACATTTATATCCATGTACTTGTTTTTTCAGATATGCCAGCAGTGTAATATTAAAAAAAATTGGGGGCTACTTACTGGCACAATTAACTATTATCCCAAATATTCTGCATGCTAAAAAACCAGAACCAAAAATTCTAACATACCAATTAACATCTATAAGGCCTTTTACTATTTTCCACACAGTCAGGTGAATTTAGGGTGTATTTTTTCTGATATATTTTTTTTGTTAGTTACCTATTTTCAGACATTATGAAGCTTAAGTCATTTTATTCACTTTCCTCATTAAAGACATACCTCACAAAACACAAACCTAACACAGGAAAGCACACAGGGAGCTTTGCTATGCTGCCCAATACCTCTGATGTGTCCAGTAACATTTTCAATTCAAAGATGGGTACCTTTAACAGTATTCTTTAGTGCTTTTTTCTTTTTCTTTTCCCCCTCAATGAAGTGGTGAAATGGAGCCCCCTGAAAGGCCTGCTCTACTGATCAGATTGTCAAACCTTTTAGGAGCAGTTCCAGCCCATTCCTTGCAAAACA